GAACAAAGCCAAAACCCTCCACCACCCGACTTCTTTCAACAACTTCTGGAGGGTCAACAACAACTTCTTACGGGAATAGCTCAAATGGACAACCGGCTCAACCGATTAGAGGAAGAGCAAAGAGCCGGTTTTCAAAGATTGGAGGATGAGCAAAGGGCCGGCTTTCAACGTTTGGAGGAGCTCCGGGAGGCCGATAGACACCGGTATGAGGAAGACCAACATAGGTTCTACGGGCCTATGTACTCGTTTATGGCACAGCAGGGATCCTTCCATACCATGGCGAACCCTCCTCCACCACCCTCATGGTATGACCCCACTCATTGGGGTAACTTTGGAGGATCTGGCTCCGGTGGTGGAGGGTACGACGGCGGAGATGGCGGGGACACTTACATGGGAGATGGTGGCCAAGGGAGCGGTTTTGGAGGGAGCTACTACGGAGGAGAAGGCGGGCACTAGGGACAGTGCGTGATTCAAGTGCGGGGGAGACACTCATGATGGTATGTAATTCTCATTTGTACCTAGCACTATGCATGTAATTCTTTTGAACTTTTACACTCAAAAAAAAAAATAATAATAATAAACAAAAGAAAATAAATGCTAGTTAGGTTGAAAACCCAACAAAATGGGCAATCTAAGCAAAAAGGCTTATATAAAAAAATGAGTGAGTTGGAGAGAATGGAAAATGAAAAGAGGTGCTAGGATGAAAACCTGAAAAGGCTCCTAGGCAAAATGAGAGATATGAGAGAAATGTTTGTTCTTGCAGGCACTCATTGTATCCTTATAAAGAATATGAAGATTCAAGATAAAGAAAAAGAGAGGAGGAGAAAAGAAGACAACACTAGGAGGCCATTAAACCCAAGATGCTCTTTTGTGATTTGAGTTTAAAACTCATTTTTTCTTTGTAATCCTTGGTGGTCTTTGTGTTTGTATTATATTTTTTGTTGAACTGTGGAACTTTTGGACAAACATTGACACTTGTAAACATTTGATCTTACTCGAGACGAGTAAAGGTTTAAGTGTGGGGGAGTTGATACGTTCGTAATTTCCATTTCTATGTTTATGTTTTTAATTAGTTTTGCTTGACTTTTACTTTGGAAATTACACACTTTTGGTGTAATAGATTAGATTGTTAAATTCTTGTAAATAGGTTAGATTAGACATATTCTGAGCTTAAGCAGGTTTTGGTCACCCAAAGTACAGTTGGTGAACCCAAAAAGTGAAGAGAAGGTGCAAAAGTTCAAAGACAAAAGAAGATCCTGAATTTTGGTCTATACTCGGTCGAGTATTAGCTATACTCGATCGGGTATTAGGTTGGAACTTCAAATCGGATCAGATCCGAAGACAAAGGAACATGCAGGGAAGATTTTGGCCACGATTCTATGTCTATACCCGATCGGGTAGACCGACATACCCGATCGGGTATGCCTTTAAATTGCAAACGAAGATCGGTCGAGTATAGCCCGAATACCACTTTCTAAGCATACTCGACCGGGTATTCATATATACTCGATCGGGTATACACTTAGAAACTAGCCTGAAACCGGTCGAGTATAGCCCGAATACCACTTTCTAAGCATACTCGACCGGGTATTCATATATACTCGATCGGGTATACACTTAGAAAATAGCCTGAAACCGGTCGAGTATGCCTCGGATCGGGTGTTACACACATACTCGATCGAGTACCATGTATATACCCGATCGAGTACCCGAATCCCATCCCAAAAACCTATAAATACACCTCCTTTTCCTTCACAAAAGGATATCCAATCCCTTGTACATCTAAGCTCAGTATAGAATAGCTCTTTCTTTATATTTTTCATCATGTTTAGTCTCCAAATGAGGAGCTAAACTCTTCCATCTTGGTTTTGCTACTTTGAAGCTTAATGAATTTGTAAGTTGTGAGTTATTTTCTTTAATCTTCTTCCTTGAATATTAATTCTTTCTTTCAAAATACTATCTCTATATCAAAGTTGGGGAGTGTTACTAAGATGACAATTAGTTAACATCTTGACATTGGTTATAGTAATAGCTATTTTTTTCTCTATGATAATATTGGGGAGTGTTACTAAGATGACAATTAGTTAACATCTTGATATTAATCATAGTAGGATTCATATATTTTAATATTCTTCCTTGAGTATTGATTAATTCCTATTCATATTTCATGTTAATATCTTAAACATTACTTAAAGTATCAACTAGTATTGTTTCTCATATTAATTATTACTAGAATCAATCGGTTAATACGCTTGTTATTAATCCGGTTCTTTCAACGGTAGTAAACTTGGAATATTAATGCATGCATCTCATGGTTAATATGCCAAGGGGAATTAATTATATTGATTAAACCAATAAACCGCTTGTGTTTAGGTTATCAATCTCAATCGTTTTCATCTTAAGTTTATTGCTACTATCAAGTTAATATACGGCGCTTGTTCTATATTGACTCGATAGTAAGTTTTATTAATGAACGCATCTCGTTATTAATAACTACCCTCGATGAACTGGATATACTCCTCGATTGAGTATTCGAGAGGAAGATAGTTAAAGATATAACCGGGATCGACGAACATTTCATTAAGTGGATAAAAGCAAAACCAAGTCCCCATCTCATTGAATTAAATTCATATAGGTCGTTTATCTTAGTGTTATTAAACCAAACAAATCTAAACCCCCCGTGTTATTATTTATATAAAAGAAAAAGTATTCCTTTCCCTGTGGATACGAACCTTACTACACTATACTACGTATTAGTGTTGTATTGATTATTTATTTTGAGTGCACCTAACGACGAGTGCACGTCAACTGGTCTGGTCTGGTCATGTAAACGTCTGATCTCTGTGTATTTTATAACTACGGAAGTCTGGTCTGGTCTGTTTAAGTCTGGTCTGGTCTGAATTGGTGTGGTCAGGTCAGGTAAACGTCTGATCTCTATTTATTTTATAACTACGGAAGTCAAGTCAAGTCTGGTCTAGTTTGGTCTGGTCTATTTAAGTCTTATCTGGTCTGATTTGGTCTATTTAAGTCTGGTCTGGTCTAGGAGTGAAAACAGTCTAAGTAAAAACATCCAAACTCTACTAATCATTCTTGTTATGAATAGTATTTATAATTTTTATTTAGTTCTAATATTAATGGATAACTAATACGATTTCAAATTAGGAGCAGTGTCACACTATATATGTGGGTCGAAGCACCACTAAAATACCGATTTTCTTTCAAGAGGAAAACTCAACCTCTAGTTGACTATTACAATGATATATGATATCACCTTGTTTAAGCGTTTGGAGTGTGAACAATCTGTTATACTTCCTCCGTTTGGTTATAAGTGCAACATGCACTTGGGCACGAAAACTAAGACACCAAGTAAAGGTTTTGAACTTCATAATTTTACCCTTTCAAAGTACGAAAAGGCAGCCACACAAAAAGAAGTGCTACAGTAACCAACAGTGGAAAGAAAACAGTACGACTTGGTGTATTTCACCTTCGCCTGCCTAGCCAGCTGCTCATCAGAACTCAGAAGACCCTTCTTGAATCTCGCCAAAACTCCTATAAGCGGCTCCCTCTCACCACAGCGTGAATCCAGCTCAACAACTGTAACACTTGGGATTTAATTTAAAAGGATTAATAGTACTACTCATACCAACAAGGTGCATCTCCTTTTAAGGGAGCTCTTTAGCCAAGAACTCCAAAGTTAAGCGTGCTTGCACGGGAGTAGTCTTGGGATGGGTGACCCCCTGGGAAGTTTCTCAGGGCACGCACGAGTGAGGACAAAGTGCGCGGAAAAGGTTAGTGGTGGTTTGTGAGGACAGTACTAGAGGTCAGAGGTAACTACCTCAGGGCCTACGGGGCCGAGGTGTTACAAATGGTATCAGAGCAACCCTGCGACAGTGTGCTGATCCGTTGGATATCGGGCGGGCACTTAGCAGGGGAAGAGATTCTGGGATATGATTGAGATTGGTTTGTGGGCGCAACGAGGACGTTGCATTCCTAAGTGGGGGTGATTGTAACACTTGGGATTTAATTTAAAAGGATTAATAGTGCTACTCATACCAACAAGGTGCATCTCCTTTTAAGGGAGCTCATTAGCCAAGAACTCCAAAGTTAAGCGTGTTTGCACGGGAGTAGTCTTGGGATGGGTGACCCCCTGGGAAGTTTCTCAGGGCACGCACGAGTGAGGACAAAGTGCGCGGAAAAGGTTAGTGGCGGTTTGTGAGGACAGTACTAGAGATCAGAAGTAACTACCTCAGGGCCTACGGGGCCGAGGTGTTAAGACAACCACCTAATCCGCTTCCGCCAATCATCATCCTACGTGAATAATGATCTGGCCGTCACAGCAGCCGGCCGCCACCTAGAGGCAACCATTACTACCGTGTCTCTTAGCTCGTGGGGGAGTAACAGCAACAAAATTGGTTTCATGTCCTTCCATTTTTTCCATTTCGGTCGTAATTAAAGTATGAATCAAAGAAAAGAAAAAAAATGTGGGAGATGATGGGGACAGAAACAAAGAAATAGCTGAGTTGGTGAAGATAGTCACAGATGAGGACATACACAAATGGAAGAAGGTGGTGTAAAGAGGAATGGAATCGGTAGGTGGGTGGGTATTGGGTAGTGGGTAAAGAAATTAAAGAAACTTTTAGAAAACGGAAGAGGTAGGGCGTAAATAATGAGGGGCATAGAAGTCCTTTCGTTTAGTATTTCTTTCCCAAAATAGAAAGGTTGCATTTATTTTGAAACTGCCGAAAAAGGAAAGTGTTACACTTATTTAAGAACGGATGAAGTATCTCGTGTAGCGTTGTCACTCACCCATAGCAAATGGTAGTATTGACTTTTCGGGGAGTTGTTAACACTTTTAGGGTTGAAGTTCGCCTAAGATACTAAACCTTTTTCACTAGGAAGATTTTGTGTAGGCATGATTCATGCTTCTCTCAAGTACTATATTGAACTTTGATAAAAGCTCATGTACTTTTCAATAATTTCTATTACAAGTTTGCATGCATGTACTATTGTGTAGTGCTTTACGTTTTATGGATATACTTCGTGTTTATTAAAGAGTAAATTCCCTGTCTAGGACTAAAATATGACAAAAGTGCAAAATTAGAACTACAAAGTTACGTATGATTCCATAGGAGTAAAAAGAGATGAGTGGACAAAACTATCCTTAATGAAATGTTTATTTTTATTTGTTAAAAATGAAAAATAGAATAATCCAAAGCTCTGTACGCGATGTAACAATTGATTGCATAGTACTCCTGCGCAGACTACCACCACTAAAGTTGCCGCCGACACCACCCACAGCCGTCACCTATCGCCGCTGCTGGACGCCGCCGCCACCATCTCCATCGTAGTCGCCGCAGGCGCCATATCAGTTCCTCCAATCACCTTCGCAGCCGGCTGGACGCCTTCATGTCCACCGCCGCCGGTCGGACGCAGCCATGTCCACCGCCGTCAGATCTTGTGTCACCGCCACGGCGCCACCTTGTCCAGCACCACCACTTTTAGCTCCACCATTGTGAATCTCAAACCTGGAAACATATATTTTAAAATGCCATGGCCATCTCTCACCGTTGTGAGTAGTGCGACCTCTGGCACCGTCGCCTACACCACCACTGTAGATCTCATATCTGATTTTGAATCTGGTATGACTACCAGTCAATTGCCATCTTACAGTTGTAATGCCATCTTAATGGTATTATTGGCATCCTGATAGAAATAAGATGACATTTTTAATTAAAAAACATGGCATTAATGTGCTATCAAATGAGAAGTATTGTCATCTTTGTTACATTAATGCCATACCAACAAAAAATATGACACTAAAGTTCTTGTATTCTAGGAGTAATATTGCAATCTTCAAATGATACTAGAAAAATTCCAGAAAAATGTAAAGCCAATACTGCATTAATGTATTATAAATAGTGCATATACAAGGATAATGTTGTCATCTTAATGAGTTAGTGCCATATAAATGGCATTATGTGGGAAAATAAAGTGACATTAATAGTATTGTATTTGTCATCCTCGTTTTATAAAAATGGCATTATATACTAAAATATATTTCAGATGCCACTATATGCCTAAAATATATTGCAGATGGAAAACAAGCATTAGGTTTGCCCGCAAAGAAGTAATATTGTATTTGCGAAGAAGTAATATTTTCATGTTCATACCATAAAAATACTTCAAATAGTGATTATGTCAATTTCAAATTCAGATTAGAATATTAATTTGAGATGTTACAAAAATATTGATTGAAATCAATTTAAAAATTAAGGCCATGAAGCAAAAAAGTTTGATTGAAATCCAACTTCACCTCCCGTGAGAAAGCAAGAAAAGGATAAGACTGAAACGGATCTGGAATGAGAAAAAAACTGAAGCAAAAAAAGTTTGTAATCACCCACCAGTTTCGCTACAAAAAAAATCAAGGCTGCCCAGCTCATGAAAAGAAAGTATTAGAGAAGGGGAAGAAGGGAGAAGAATAAGGGGAAGAAGAAGAAGAGAAGAAGAAAGAGAAGAATGAAGGGAATAAGGAGAGCAACTTAGCACCAGATCCGCCGTTGGAGATGAAGAATTGCTGGGATTTGAGACAAGAAATTGAAATTGCAGAGAAGAGATGAGAGGATGAAGAGGAAATTTGAGGGGAGAGACTGGTGGAGAGGAGCGTGAATACATCCGGCAGAAGAGAATTAAACAAGGGTATAATTGGGAGAGAAAACGGTACATCTAATTAAAAACTCCTATTTAGGAATAAATGAACATCAACTCCCTCTTTGGAACTTTCTTATTATTTTAGTCCTATTTAGACCAATTTATTGTTTATTAAATACACAAGAATATTGCATTATCCAAGGAGAGTACTCTATAGATACTCTTCATGGGTTGTGCGGCGATTGCCACATCAGGTTTCAGGGAGGTTTGTGATAATTAAGAACATCTTCAATGCAAAAACATGAATGATGCATACGTGGCATGAGGGATAGCCAATTAAAAAATAACAAATATAATATTTATCTCTTTATTTGAACGGTCTTATATGTTTTTGGTAAGTTTTTCTCAACAATGTAAACACAATGTCTAGATGTAGACATTGTGGTTGACATTGTTGAGAAAAACTTACCAAAAACACACAAAACCATGGAAAGAAGAAGAGAGAAATGTCATAAATTTAATTTTTTGTGTCTATATCTCTCATGCCACATGTGCACCGTGCACATTGTAGTATTGGAGATGCTCTAAGTTGTATAACAGCCTAAGTTTGCAATATATTAATACCAGTGGAATTCGAAAGGCGAAAGTTCATTAATTCGTAAACTAAGAAGACTAAGGATGTTATAAACACTAAATAATTGATACTATATCAAATAAATACAACACCAAGTCATAATAAGTCTTCCAATAGTGGAGTCTTCAGACTATTTGTACAACAAGAAGGTATGGTTGTAGGATTACATTATATTACACAAAAGGTATGGTTGTAGTATTACAATAAAAGTATTACACAAACAATGCTCGTAAGTATCCTTGAACAATATTTTTTGAAATATAATAATATGACCGAAGTATTTAAGAATATACGAAGTAAATTGAAAATGTGTTCTTGGTGAATAAATACGACAATAAAGAATTTCCTATTCTACACAAAACCACCATAGCAACAATTGTAAAAAGAATACCAATAACAATATTCATTATATTAATTACCACGAAAGTCGTCAACATCAATGACAATAATATACCTTTTCTTCCTAATAGTTTTGTTTTTATTATTTGAATACGTGTATTAAATTACAAAGGCTTGCTAATCCACAAAAATAAAGAATATGACTTAATAAATAAATAAATGGAGGACAAATTTAAATAAATTATAGGACAATCTCCTTAGCCCAACCCCTCTTGTCTTCAATTGTACCACCTTGAATCCCTGCTAGGCCGGAGGAGAGTTTCTCGGTAACATTTTCATAGCTTGTCTTGTACTCAACCCTGCTCATATAGTCATCTTTAATTTCATGCAAGAATAATTGCCCAAACAATCACTTAATTGTATTTATCGTAAGTAACAAATGTGTGTGTATAAATTACGGAACAAATGAGAGTATCAATTAATGGCCGAAATGTGAATTAATCTTGTGCATTCCATTTGAAAATTGTTCATTTTTCCAAGCAAAGTTGTGCAGTGCTGTGAACCGTAAAATGCGGTGACATTTTCCTAATAAGTTTAACCTTCTTCCGCACACTAGGAAATTTTCATTATTTAATAAGTTGATTTGTATTGTTTCCTTTATATTTTAGTATCAAATACTATTACTAATTTCATATAGTTATTCCATGAGAAGAATTGGTTTAATGTTATCATCAACAACTCAAAATAAAAGGAACCTAGAAACATTAAGTTCGTATGGACATAGAGAAAATATGTGCACTCTCAAGAAAATTGTTAATTTAGTCTCGTAGCTTGTTATAAATTCATTATTAGTTGTCTAACTTTACTTACTCGCATATCATACCATACAATTAATATAATATCCCACATTGAGGACATGTTCACCAAAATGTACTACTGCGCCCACTAACATTGAAACACATGAGAATGTGGCGCATTTATTAAGAAAAGTGAATTTATGTGGTTGATATTAAATTGATAAAGTAAGAATAAAGTAAGGATGATTTAGAACCACATAAGCTTTAACAAATTTTGTATGAGATAAAAATACTACCCTTAGAGCTTTAAAAAATAGGACTTAATCAAAGCAATTTTATAAAAATAGTACATACCTATGTTTCTTCCTTCCGTAAGAGCTATGTAGTTCTAAATTTGAAAACTTGATTTTAAATTTCCAATTTTACCCTTACTGCTATTGAGTTATTATTCGAAATTAGTGTCTGTTTACTGATTACTTAATGTCTATGTATTGTCTAGTGTTTTGCAAGTTTGATTTTGGATCTGATTTCTTCAAAAGTTTTGGAGAACACATGGGCGTCCACCGCCACAACACATCATCGCCACCACCGTCCCTCACTGATTCCGATACATCTCCAGATTTGGATCTCGATCGAGTTTTAGGGCTTCGGAGCAATGTTTATTAGCGGAGAAAAGAGAAGAAGAAGAAGAATGCGACGGAGGCGTGCAGTGTAGCGGCACGGCAGCGATGCAAGGGACAGTAGCGGTGCACATGAGGCGGTGGGCGGTGTGCTGGCTGAATGTGGAGACGGATGCCGATTGCAGAGGCGGTGGCGAAGCGATGGCCGGATGCGGAGGCGGTGGTCGACTGCGGTGGTCTGTGTTGGTGCGGTGTGGCGGCGGCGGTGACTGGCACGGTTCGGCGGCGGCTAGTGGGGCGGCCTGGTTGGTGCTGCGGCGGCCCTTGGTTTCCTGGGTGCGTCAATTTGCAGATGATGAAGGGGCGGCCTTGGTTTAAAAACGTATAGCAAAATGAAGGACAATTTGGTCAAAGCTCCTGTACTTAAGTCTTACCCTAATCTATAGTCTTAATTTTGGAATATTAATATGATTAAGTCCTATTTGTTGAAATCCCCCATTTTCATCTCTAGAGTCACACCACGAATAACAAATGTTGATCGAAAATGGCCAAAAAATTGTACTCCCTCCGTCCCATAATTTACTTCCAACTTTCCTTTTTCGTCTGTCCCAAAAAGAACTTACTTTTCCTTTTTGGCAAAGAATTTGTGGTTCACATCAATTCTTACACATTCTTACACATTTATCTCTCCTCTTCACAACTCTCCACCACACAATTCTCACTTTCTTAATCTGTGTGCCATGTGTACTATGGAAGTAAATTCTGGGACGAAGGGAGTATCATTTCAGTACACATTGTCAAAATACTTTGCACCGTAGTTTTTTGGTAAAACTAGGACAATGACAATAAATGTCAATTGGAAAAATCAATTTTATAGGCTATAAACATCTATCATACATAAAAAATATTTTCAAACAGATTAAAAAATTCTATACTTTGTATACACATTTTCAAAATTCTTCACATTACCAATTTTTCCTTATATTTTATTTGATACATCGGAGAGGATATACTTCCTCCATCCATATATAAAGTGATGTTTTGAACACATTTTAAGAAAGTGATGTTTATTGTCTATTCATTTTACACATTTTAAGAAAGTGAGATTGGTTGGTAAGAATTGGACATTGTTTTGGTAATGTTTTGAACTGTTTTATTTACCAAAACAGAAAGGAGACTTTTATGTTAGGTGATAGATAAAAAGCATTTGTAAAATATCAATTTTATAGACGATAAATGTCTGGCAATGACAATGCCAACTAATAAATATGTGACACTGACGAAAAAAGTTGAGAGAATATTAGACATTTATTTTCTGTAAAATAAGTTTTTTGGGACGACGTTTCGTACGAATCACCTAATTTCATAGGAAAGTGGTCTTTGCAAAACAACACAATTATATTTTAGAAATCCTTTACAGTAAGGCTATTTTGCTGTGAGATTAGGTGTCAAACAATAATGTCAGTAGAAAAATTCTACTCCGTATTTTAGAGAGAATAAATGTCTGGCAGTGCCTCAAACTTTTTGCCAGGGCCAAATATTTATTAGCACTATCAGTGCTGTGCTACATTATGTGATTTGAAAATATGTACAAAAATTAGTTTGTTTTTGGAATTCTCTAAATATTTTTATCTTTGCAGACATTTATTGTGTATAAAAATTAATTTTTTTGGACTAACATTTTTTCCATGGAATAACATTATATAGGGAAAACAGTTACTGTGAAATATTTTGTAAATGTGTACAAAAAGTAAAAAAAAAATACTCCGTTGTGTACGAAAATTTTGATTAACAAAAACTTTTTTGAAAACATATTTTTATCTGTTCCAGGCTTTTATAGTACGAAAATTTTGATTTTCCGACCGACATTTTTTGCCTATAGTCTACTTTTACCTAAAATATTGCCGGTGATTTTTTTTCTGACAATATGTAAAAAACGATACATTTTTTGTCATTACGGAAACATTTTTTCTGTGTTGGATATTTATTGCCGGAAATTTTGGATTTTTTCACTCTACTTTTTTTTATCCGTTGTGTAAATCTAGAAAAAAAAAGTTGTCGGGGCACTTTTAAAAAAAGTATTACTCCGTATTATTTGTGTCGTGTCTAAAGTTATAACCCTAATTATGCCAAAACGTTATAAAAATTAACGGTGTTAGTTTTGATTTGACGGTGAGGACCACATATACAACAATTCACATAATTGAGGGGTGTCATTTACAAACTCAAAAATATGATGATAAGATTTCAATATGGGTACTATTTTGGTGACCGGAAATGCAATTCGATCTCCCTAAAAAAACTTAAACTATCCATCCATATTTAAAGTTAAGTTTGAACTTTTAAAGTTAAAATTTGCAACCTCACGCTTAAGAATATTTAAGCCACTTGATCTTAACATTAGATTCTTGAAATATTAATTCACTATAAATTTTATATAGGGAAAATCGCACTTTTAGTCTCTCAAATATATAGTCATCATATTGAAATGTCAGACCTGTGTTTCCCAGTTTGTAAATATCACCCCTCAATTGTCCGAATTGTTCTAAATGTGTTCCTTTGAGGGGTGAAATGTATAATGTGGACATGGAGTACATTTCACCCCTCAAAGGACCACATTTACAACATTTTGGACAATTGAGGGGTGGCATTTACGATCTTAGAAATACGGGTCTGACATTTCAATATGGTGACTATTTCAGGGACTAAAAGTGCGATTTTCCCTTTTATATATCTTTAATTACAAATAATAATTGTTAAAGATGCACAATCAGTATAACACAAATTAAAACAAGAATCCGCACGGGGTAGCTCAGTTGATCGAGTGGTAGGAGATTTGGATCAATAGACCAAGGTTCGAATCCCCGCAGCGACCGGGTGGAGGTCACATAACCTGAAATAAAGCTGGGCCTCTGATGCGCACGGGTGTATGAGTCTACTGTCATTCTGCTGACTGAGTCACCGTGACTAACCTCTCCACCATCCTGTCGGATCGGGGTGAAGGCTCTTGGGGTGGGAGATTCCACCTTTTGGATCAACAAATTAAAACAAGAACTCTAAATAGAGTGGGGTGTTGTATGTACGCGTACCTGGTGCCTTTATATGTGATGCTTCCGACCCTACAAACACCAACGGCAGTTCCAGTACAAAATACTTCTTCAGCTTCCTTTAGTTCATCAACGTGTATCATACGTTCTTCTACCTACAACACAATGAAATAAATAATTACGAATTCAAGACTTATATAAGAAACATGCATTATAATTTGCACATAGTTATTTCATTATGAGTTATATATAATATGTACTTAACACGTTGATAATAATATAAGAGCAGTAACAAAGTATACTCTAATTTATTTCACATGCTAATACATGTAGATGGTATCTCTATATATTTTTCTAGTACAAAGTAAATGCATTGTGTATATCTATAGTTGTTTGTATACACAACAATAAATATTTTATGACAACAAATATTATGGTTTGGAAATTATTAGTTAAAGAACATAATTTTTTTATTGAAATTATTCTGAACACTACAGTATAAATAATGCATATTAATTAATAAAAACATATTAATAATATTCTTGAAAGTCATCTTACTTTCAATTGTTAACAATAAGTCATCTTAAAAACTTATATATAAAATGTTTCCATAAGTAAATTTCTTTAAAAACAATTAATGGAAAGATCATTATCATTTAGTATTTCTCATCATCTAAGAGACACACATAACATATACATTGATCATATATAAATGGTTATTAATGACATAATTTATAGAACATGATGTCCTAATATTATTGTTTCATTTGCTAGCCAACTTGATCTTGTCTAGGAGTAATTTTCAAAATATTATGTAACAAAGTTTTTTATCTATTTAATATACATAATAATATGTATTGCATATAAACTCTAATATAAAATTACCGTGGAGGAGATTTCTTTAGTGTTTATTGTAAGCAATAAAGAAAAGAATTAATATATATATATAAAATTACTTGAAATCCATTATCAAGTGCAATGTCCATGATGCTTTTCCTCGTGACACCTTCAAGGATGGTACCATTAGCAGGCGGGGTTGAAATAATTTTCCCCTATAAAAGTATAAAGTAACAAACTAATTAAATAAAATAATTTAATGTTGAAGTGCAAAGTGAAATGTCACGAAAACTGAAGATAAGATTTATAGAGTAATTACCTTCACAAAGAATATGTTGCTGGCAGAGGCTTCCTCGATATAACTCTTATGGACAGAATCCAGGTATAAGACCTCAGAGAATCCTCTTTCTTTTGCTCTCACTATCGCTTTCAAAACCTAATTATCCATATGTCAGTTTCATATTCGATATTAATGTGATACAACTCATTTTTACTATGTAATTTTGCATATTTAATTTCTGTCAAATTCAAATTCTTTGATGATCGATTTTCAATATGTTGAAATTCGTTTATGATTTTCAGTAAGGGAAATCGCCCCAGGCGTAAGAAATATTTAAATTCCAAAATAGGAGACATTATATTTCTCCCACACAAGAGTAATTACTATCATATTTGAAAAATACTGTTAATTCTAACAATTTATTGTCATATTTAAAGTCTTATAATGCCAAAACTACAACAATAATTTCTTACAATGACAATAATTTACTCTTGTTTAATTAGGGAGAAAACATATATAATACTCATATTTTTTAGATTTAAATTTTTTACTCCTGCTTTGAGAAAATTCCTTTTTAGTAAGTATAATGAAGTGTTTGGATGGGAACTCTAATTATTAATGTTAACATAAATATTATTAAACGAACTTAGTTATATCTGAGATCAACATTGGAATCATAATATGGGAAGAAGTGAGCTCTTCATAAACACGAAGAATCTTGACTTAGGACGTTTTTTTTAACTGAATTGATTTTTTTACCCCAATCTCGTCTGATTTATTGAAATTTAATCTGGTGCGGTAAATGACTATTGTATAAATACAATATACATGTAACTGTACCTTATGCTTAATAATGCATTGGAAACAAGTATATTTTTATCGTCTGATTTATTTGTACCCCAATCTCGTCTGACTTTTTTGAAATTTAATCTGGTGCGGGAAATGTCTATTGTATAAATACAATATTCATGTATTTGTACCTTATGCATGGGCGGAGCTAGGGGTGGGCCAACCTAGGCCATGACTCACCCCAAATTGTAAAAATGGCTTAATTTTTAAGGTAAAAAATTTCGTGTAAATTTTTTCTAAAAATATTCTTTGTACCGGCCCAGTCCGGCCCAGTGTCCTGGCTCCACCCCTGCGTCGTCCTTATGCTTAATTCATAAATATTAATTTGTGATATAAAAATAATAAAAGGGAGAATTGGACACAAGTATATTTTTATTTTTATTTTATTTATTTTTTAATTTCAAATTTATAATTAATTTTTGGTGTTTTTTAAATTTATTTTATCTTTTTAAAGGCAATAAGGGTAAATTTGCTCCTTTATAGGAACATAAGGGGTATTTTTGTAGCATTTAAAAGTTCATGGGTAAATATGCAATTCCACATAAACTCCAGTGGTATATTTGTTATAAAAAGTAGAACAAAGATATATTTGTTCCCATACTCATACTAGAAGCGTATAATTGTACATTTTCCCTATGTAGAATAGCAAATTAAACAAACGAAAGAGCCGTTCAGAGTTAATGAACGAGAGGATTACCGGGGCATAATTTGTCACACTCTTGACACCTCCGGCTCCGCCACGAGTAGCACGGTGAAACTCATCTTCAATGTATAAATTCAAGGACGACGAGCCCTCCTGCAATTCGTTGATGATAATTACAAATGAACGGTCAATTTAGTTATATAATTGATATAATAAAAGATTATCGACGACATAGAATTTAGGCAAAGTAGGCATCATTGTGCTATAAATATAGGCGAGAATTTCTGAAATAAAAGTACAAATAATGTAAAATTCCAAAACAACAGTATTCTATTTTTTGTAAATACAACTATACAAGTACAATGTTGCCATTTTGAAAATTTATTTTCATACTTTGCATTACCGCACTTTAATTATGACACTATACTTTCACAATTCACATTATTTTCATACTCGACAATAATTATTCATATTTAATAAATAAAGATATAATGCTCCTATTTGGAAATTTCAAAATGTTGTCACTCATATTTAAAACAATTTCCTTAATTATAGTCATTGCAATAATATCCTTGTAAACATTACATGCGAAATTGCACACTATTGTGTAGCTACAATCACTTTAAATGGTATTCTTTGTTATTTATTGTAGTCATATTTTTTCATCATCTAGAAATGATTATGACTAGAATTTTCTGCTTATAGCTAGAAAAGATATTTGTGTATGTATAGTAACTTAATCTTGAGGCTTTTCAAAGATAATATTGAAATGAAACTTATTTACAAAAATATGATTAATAATTTCATACTTAAGTTTAAGCATTGAACATAAGTTACTAGGACTAAGTTCATAATTAACTACTGCACTCATGCACTTAGAATAGTCATGCACTCATGCATTGTACAAATATCATTTTTAGTGAAACATATTGACGAATTAAATACAAAAATTCCTAATATAGTGCTATTAGTGATCGAATTAATGATATCCATGATACCATATCTCTCAAAAATAAAGAATTGCACTTGTCATTTTGGGCTTATTAATATTAGACTCTTTTATTCTTTTAGCCCATTAGCCCTTTGTATAAATACTTTAGATAAACTCATGTATCATGTACGATTCATTCTTCTTCTTCCTAATTCAAAGCTTCCGCATTCTTCCTTCAAGATTTCTGTATTCATTTGAGTTTTCACATGGTATCAAATTAAGGTTTAGATCCTTACTGATTCGCCTTCTTCTTTAATTCTTCTTTCTAATCGATTCAATCGATTTCTATAATCGATTTCATTTTTTGATCGTCTGCATCATCTGAAAACCCTAACAACAATGGCTCTACCGCTCAATCCTAGCGAAGATTCTTCATCGCCCTACTACCTTCATCCAAGTGATCACGCTGGCCTTCGAGTCATCTATGAAACACTTGCAAGAGACAATTTTGGTGGTTGGAAGAAGTCAGTTTCTATGGCTATGGTGGTGAAGAACAAAATGAGATTTCTCGACGGTTCAATTGCAAAGCCGAGTCCAGATAACTCTATGTACTCTACCTGGTATCGTATCAACGCTCTTCTTTTATCTTGCTTGATTTACTCTATCTCACCTAATCTTTGCACTACTTTCCTATCTTTTAACGATGCTAAGGAACTTTGGGATGAGGTTCAACTTAGGTATGGTAAAAGAGATGGTCCTAGACTTTTTCAACTTGGTCAAAATACTAATAAGTTTTTCAACTTGGACCCCACTCAAAATACTACCCAAAATGGTCATTTAATGCAATTTTAATAAGTTTTTTTCCAACAAGTTGTACCTGTGCTAAATGTACATCAGATCTCAATAAGCTACTCAATAAGCTACATGAAACGGCGAGAGAATCTCAGAGACTCCATCAGTTCTTGATGAGGTTGCACACTGAATGTTATGGCCAAATAAGGTCTCAGTTGTTGACTCAAACACCACTGCCAATATTCAATCAGGCATATTTACGAGTAATGCGTGAAGAAAGGGCTTGTGAGAACACTCGGAACAAAGAAGAGGTCTCTAATATAATGTTATCGGGTATGTCGTGCGGTCAAAAGACATGGCAGAGGAAAAGAAAACAAGAGTGAGAAGTCTCGATTGATCTATTCGCACTGCGGATCTATGGCAATGACATAGTAAGGTACTTTGAGCACTAGAGTTGCCCTAATGGTGGGAGACCACACAATGGCAGCAAGACGACGGACAATGGCGGCAAGGCAGTGAGAAGAGGAAACGGTGATGAGTATGTATCAGGAAAACAACAGCCTATCCGAGCACATGCACCATGAACTCTCCAGGAGCTAATGCGAGTGAACTTCATTGAGATTTTACTTCAGAACAGTGCAAATCCCTAATGGCTGCCTTCAGTAATTCTCAGAATGTAAATGAACAAATGTCAGGTAAAAATGAAACTATTTTGAATATTTGATACATGAGCCTCAAGAGAAATTTATCTTTCCTTCTTCACATTCAGGACAGAACTAGATGACCGATTGGTCTTCTCGATGGTCAAATGGGTGATTACTAAAAAAGGAGCAATTCAAATATTTGGGAAACATTATTTGTACAATGTGTAATTGTTCCAGAATTGAATTGAATTGGAAACATCAGCAAGTCAGTGATGATATGAATTATTTTGTTCAGTTTACTTCTAATGTGTGTGGTATGCAGGATTGTCGGTCGAGGAAGCTGAATGGAACAGGTGAGCAGTGGAATGGATTGTACTACTTTCGAGAACTACCAAAAGTTCAAGTGTTGTTGGCAGAAATAGGCTCCACTATCGCAGACACATGACATAGGTGTACGAGACACCTTTCTCAAATGGTGATGAAATGGCTCTTACCTTTAAATAATTGCTTAGAAACTATTTCTGCTCCTTGTGAGGTTTTTTCATTGCTAAACAAACTAGAGATGTGTTTCACTTAAGTTCTGCTAAATCAACCGGGACTTTTGAGCTTATGCATTGTGATTTTCGGGTACCTTATAATACTTCCTCTTCTTATGGTGCTAAGAGTTTTTTAACTATTGTTGATGATTACTCCTTTCTATTTGGGTCTATTTTTTGCTTGATAAGTGGGAAATGTTTAGCATGTTTATGATTTTTGTTGCTATGGAGGAAAGACAATTTTCTCATAAAATCAAATTTGTCCGTAGTGATAATGGGTCAGAGCCTGTGCCACATTTATAAAATGTCAAGTGGAGCGTAAACATCACCATATTTTAAATGTGGCACATGTCTTGCGTTTTCAGGCTAATCATTCTATTTGATTTTGGAGAGAGTGTGTTTTAACGGTCGCTTAATTAATTAACAAAACACCCTCTTCTCTTATGGAACATAAAATGTCCTTTGAGATTCTACATAGTAAGGCGACTGATTACAATTTTGGCTCACTTTCAGATGCTTATGCTTTGCTCGCAATATGAAATCTAGGGGAAATAAATTCGTTAGTAGAAATCGAAAATGTGTGTTTGTTGGTTATCCTTATGGAAAGAAGGGTTGGTGGGTGTATGATATGAAGACCAAGGAATTTTGTGTGAACCGCGATGTGAATTTTTTCGAAAAATCCTTTCCATTTTTAGCTCCTACCATGACACCTCGTTTTTAGTTGAGCGATATGAGGTCTCAGTCAATCAGTCATATACGAATATCGCATAACTTTGTTACTTCTACTTCCCATACTCGTCTTGAAAGATCTAATGGTCTTGGACCTTCTAGTGAACATACCATTGACTCATCTCGTGGGTCACATGGTACTAGTACACTCAATGCCCAACAGGTTGATGTGCCCACATAAACAGTCAACCCCTAGTCAGAAGCCCTTCTACTAGGTCAAGGCATGCGGCACTACAAGTCACCCTCCATTCTTATGAGATTATATGACTTATACTATCCTCAGTGATAGTCCATTACCCACTATGTTTCATTATCTTCCCCAGATAAACCGTTTCCTATAGCCCGTTATGTTAGTTGTAACAAGTTTCTTCGAAATATCAGACTTTCTTGATAGCTCTTTCTTCTTTGGCTATTAGTCGCGAATGTTTCAGGAAGCAGTTAAGCACCTAGACTGGTGCGCAAAAAAGCGAGTAGAAATTAATGCACTAGAGGACAATCACGCATGGACCATGCATGGAAGTCCTCCCTCATGAAAACGCGCTTTGGGATGTCGAGGAGTCTACAAAATTAAATATAACTCGGATGGGAGTGTGCAAATCTTGAAAGCGCTCTTGGGTATTTATGGAAACAAACAAGTTTATGTGTTTTTCTTGGTATCACAACATCCAAAAATGGGAGGTTCATCAAATGGATGTCCATCATGCCTTCTTGCATGTCGACCTTGATGATGAAGTTTATATGAAGCTGCCATATGGGTTTGATACTCCCGACAACATCAATTTGGTTTGCCGCCTACATAAATTCCCTATGGGTTGAAACAGGCACATGAGTTTGATATTCCCACCAACCCCAATTTGGTCACTAAACTTGTTACCGGTTTAAAAGCATACGGTTTCTTTAGTTTTATGCTTATTATTCTTTGTTTACCCCGTATGGGTCTGGCATTTTTCTCATTCAATGCAAGTACACCCTGGACATTACCTCTCATGCCGGTATATTAGGTGCTAAATAAACCCACGTCTGCTCCCATTTACCAGAATCATTCTCCGGCGAAAGCCTCCAGAGGTTTACTTTCGGATCCGGAACCATATCGTCATCTCATTGAGAGACTTATTTACTCGGCACTCACTCAACCGGACCTAGCTTATTTTGTTCACATTTTCTCTTAGTTCATGCATTAACCGTTCCAAGAATATAATGAGATGTTGCACTTCGTGTGGTTCGCTATTTAAAAGGCTCTCCTGATCAGCATATTTTACTTTCAGCCAACAGGACTCTTACTTTATCGATCTTGATGGTGTGATTCTAATTGGGCTATATGCCCTATCACTCACAAGTCCATTTCCGGATGATTGATGTTTCTTGATCATTCACCTATTTCTTGGAAGACCAAGAAACAATCCACGGTTCCCGCTATTCAGCCAAAATTGAATATTGTTCTATGGCATCTACAACATGTGAGTTAAAATGGTTAAAGGCTTTGCTTCTTAATCTTGAGGTTAATCATACACAAGTCATTCCTCTTTTATGCCAGCCAATTAGCCAACCAAGCATATTGAGTACTTTTTTATTCTTTCTAATTCGCTACACAACTTCATATACACACTTTTTTATGACGACGTTTTGATACACATAAAGTGATAAAAGTAAATCTACATCGAATTGTATAAACACCAGTACAATTGTTTAAACCGATTATAAGACTTATTTAGCATCAATAAAAATATAAATTAATTAGTAATTCACCACTCAAAAACTAGATCTTATTTTGAAAAAATATAATGGTCATAGAGAAACAATTTTATGTTGAGAAATTTCTTTGTAGATGACTAAAACATAAATGAAGTGCACATATAAGACTATCATATAGGAGTATATTTTGTTTTGGGAAAGTTTCTGAAATAGGACTAAAACAGGTTCAAAATTCCAAAATAGGACTGTCATGTTTTTTATTCTCAAAATAAGACTAATTACTGCCATGTTTAGAAAATAATGTCATGTTTGAAGTCTGTTACTGCCAAAACATGATAGCAATTAGTCATATTTTAGGAATGAAAACATGATAATCCTATTTTGGAATTTTCAAACTGTTTTAGTCCTATTTTGGGTAATATCTCTATTGTTTTCTTCCTAAAGAAGGATTTATTGGCTCCTAATAAGGGGAGTTTTATACTTTTAATATGACCAAATCAATCCTCTTTCGAAAATAAAATACATGTAATCCTCTTTTATATTTTGTCTAAGTTTTAGTCCTATTTAGAACAATTTCTATTTTATGTTTATACAATACTTAAATGGGACAAGGAGTAGATAAAAGATCAAGTACGTACTTCTACTTTGATTAAAACTTCACACATTTCGGCGTAGTATTAACGGCATGAATTCTATTTTAAAATATACTTGTATAAAAACTAATTTCACATTATACTTTTATTATGGACAATTATTTTAACTGGAAATAATTAGTTAATGAACCTTGAAATAGTTGGCCACCGGACACGCAAAGACAATGAAGGTGTATTCGTGAGCTGGGGCAACACCCAAAACCGGACCAGTTCCGAGTAGCAGTGGTCTCACGTATAGGGACCCTTTTCCCGCCGGAGGAATCTGCATAGGCATGTCCAAACCCGACCAAGTACTCGTCGTTAGTCGAGGCCGGTATGATATTGTTCCCGAAATAGAAGTAAAATAAATTTTAAATTCCAAAATATGAGCAGTAGCTCTGTGTTTTTATTCTCTAAATAAGAATAATTATGATCAAGTTTGAAACATACGAGCATGTGTTTTTTTTATATGAAAATATAGTAGTCATGTCTTGGAATTCATCAATGTTTTACTGCTATTTAAGGCTAGGCTTCAACAAATAAATGATTCCTTAAAATTGAAGTGAAACAAAAACAATTAATGATCAAAATAAAACTATTTTTTTTTCTAAAACAAGTTTTATTCAGGGCAAAAATATTATTTAGTAATTATTAATGATTATAGTGGTGTTCAAATTTACATAGTAATAATTAAATATAAGTTACTACGATATAAACTGTGATTACTCTCTCAGTCCCAAATTGTAAGATACATTTACTATTCACTTGGTCAACATAAATCTCTTAATCTTTTATTTTATATATCAAAAGTTTATGATATTTGAATTATTTTTTCCAGGTTTTGTAGCAGTTTTGATGTAGTTTCTGAATTTGTAAATTTTATTTTTTAAAACTAATTTGAGTGTTCACAGGGATTAATTTGCTTTATCACCGGTCAAACATCGTAAACCATAAAGTATCTTACAAATTGGGACGGAGGGAAAATACTTTTTCATTTTCCACATTTAGCTCACCCCTCTAATATTTAAGTCTAGTATGAGTTCTGTTCAGCCCAGGGCATCTCAGATTCCTAGATCCGTCCCTGATTATAGACACTAGTAATTAGGGTCAAATGCATAAATGGTACCTTAACTATTGGTATTGTTGCGTTTTGATACTTTAACTCTTAAATGAATCAAATCAGTACCATAACTATACATAGACTTTTCAACTTGAGATTTTATTAAAATTTGCGGCCAAAAATCCTTCATGGAGATCAAAAATAAGGTGAAGCGGGCGCATAGAATATCGGCCGTCACATGTGATTTTTTGACCACAAATTTGAATAAAATCTCAAGTTGAAACATTTATGTATACTTAAAGTACTGTTTTGATTCATTTAACAGTTAAGTTAGCAAAACACAACATTACCAATAGTTAAGGTACCATTTATATATTTCACGTACCCGTAATATATAGTTACCAAGTAATAATTCTTCTCATTGTTGTTTTATTAGTAATATTTAAAGAAAAATCTGAATTACTATACCCAACGTTTGTTAGCAAGAGCGGTTTGTTTGACAGCGTGGACAAAATGGTGGATGGAAGGGGCGGGCATGCACATTCTCTCCGCACCCAGCCGCATTCTCATCCCGTTTTCCTCTGGTCTGAAAACGAACATGCCACCATTTTCTCTCCTGTATGCCTTCACTCCTTCAAACAAACCCTGCAATGGACAAAATCGAACTAATTACTTTAAGCATATCACTTGATTCAAAAATATCTTTCAGAATTGGTGACTTTTGTAAGTTGGTTGAGAAGTTTAATTTTGATCCGCAAGATTTTGAAATTTATAATATTGGCCTATAATTACAGATATAATTTCAACATTTTGATCTTTAAAGACAACTTAAAGGTGACTTTTGTAAGTTGGTATAATTACTGATTCTAGAGTGTTAAAGTCCATTTTTTATTTGTCCTAATGATTGGTGAAAATTAGACACTCATGTGCTTACTCTTATTCTTGCACTTCTTATAAAAATTGGGGTGCACAGTATTCTTATGAAAGGTAAATTTAATCCTTAGATAAGAAAATGAGGGACATTTTTGCACTTTTTAGGGCATATATGCACTTCAACATATATACTTCTAGGGTATATTTGTTTCGAAAAATAGAAACACAATTATGTTCACTAATAGTTACTCAGTAATATTTTCGTCAAAAATTTTAACCAGCACAAGTGATCTTCCTGTATCTGCCAGACGAGCTTATATGATGGAATTTTATGGTTTACGTACCTTCTTTTAGATTTTTATAATGTTTTGTTTAAATTGGGTAAGGTTTGATCCCCCAATTTCTTTTACGTATGTTTTTTTCTCTTTAAATTTGTTCTGTTGTTTTTTGTAAGGGTTATGCCCTTACGGAAGAGGTTTTTGGCCTAGTCCCTCTCTTTTTTGTATCCTTCTATCTTTTTAATAAAATCCGGCTAACGTTCCCTGTCGTTTGCCCCACTGATTTTGGTGGTTTACCTTCCGGGTTAAAAAAAATTAAGACACAATTATTTTTTAGGACAGTTAATTTTTAGGGAAATTTAAAGAAAAAATAAAATGTAAAAATTTATACACATTATTGCATATTAATTGGGGGCATGTGTCGCCCACTCTAATCAAATAAAAGTGGATTTGCCGTTTCGCATTTTCTGATTCACTGAAGTGTAAATGCTATCACATACGGAGTAACATACAATTTTTAAATATATATGTACTTATTCCAAGAAAAAAAATATATATGTACCACATACAGTACCATATTGGTTGTAACTTATTTTCTTGTATTTAAACTTCATTTAGAATATATATCTATATCGTTCAAAAAAAGAATATATATATATATATATATATATACATATATATACATACATATATATATATATATATATATATATATATATATATATATTAATAATGATTCCCCATGATAAATGAGAATAATTAGGAAAAAAGCACTACATTATGTTTTATGGCGGTGCATATTTTAAAACAATGCACATTTAGGAGTGACAGAGATAAAATTCAATTTATGTACCATAATGTCATCACATTTTTTGTATTAATTAAGCATATTGCACAGACTATGTTTCAAATAATGCACAACTCTCATTTATGTCGTTATATTGCGTTCTCATTTGATCAAAAGTGTGTATACGTGTATATATTCACAATTCACGAAAAGAACTTCCTTTGTCACATAAAACTTTACCAAAGTTGACTTGTACGAGATTAATACTCCGTATAATAAAATTTGTGGTTGAAATTTATGAAGAGGAGGGAAAAGGACGTTAATCAAATACTTGGTATTTATAATTACATTCATTCCTTTTTAGTTAGTCAACTTTGACTCTTCAAGTCAATGATGATAAACATTAGACAATCATTTTAAATAAAACATTTATGTAAAACATATAAATTTTACTTTTATGATAGTATTTTCTAACAAAGAATATTTTCATATCATATCCATATTATAAATATTTTCGTGCATAAATATATCGTAGGTCAAAATTTGGCATCATTGACTTGAATATTCAAAATTGACTAATTAAAAAGGAACGGAGGGAGTACATTAAATGAAAATGATAATTCTTTTCAGACAACTAAATAAGTAAAGTTAGCAAAAATTTGTGGGCCAAATGAAATATTTAATTAGAGTTCATTTGCTCTGGTCGGATTAGTTCTTCACGTGTAAAATGAAAATTAAAAAATGCTTAATTTACACCATTTTTTGTACACCATTTGTACACTTTATTTGTCTACATAGAGTCAACTTTTTTATTTCTAAACATGTTATCTTTGCAAACAACTTTGCAGGCAAAATCGTACGAGTGGTTTACAAAAAAAGTATACACCAAATATATTTTTTATATTTATGGCGGTACATACCCACATTTCAGAAAGCACAAAGTTTAAAATCTAATACGACATATAATGCATTCTTATTTTTCTTAAAAGAGGTTAAATTGAAGTATGTTTTCATTGGATTGCCTAATGCTCCAATTGTCCCTTAAAACTGGTCAAAATTCACAGATACGAGGATTAATGAAGTAAAAACTGTGTGACTAAGATGTATGCAAATGAGAGAGAATTAATTTGAACCATAATTCTTAACTAAAAAAGTAAAGTGAAGAAATTAATGAAACAATCTAAAACGAAAAGTTAGCAAAGATTGAAGGGACAAAGAAAAGTATATATGATCTAGACCAGTCTCATTACATGACCTTTTAAGTTTGATTTGGTCTGATTAAATCTGAATCATCTTATAATGTCACACATCATGTGGATGTGATCTTATTTGATTAAAAAAAGGTAGATTCTATGGTACTCATAAGGTACCATGCCTTTGTCCACATGAACCAATGAGATTGTGACAGTTAAATTATTTAAATCTAAACTAAAAATGATATAATGATGTGGACCAATCAAGTGAATGATAGATATGGTACCCCATTTTTTAAATGGGTATCGGAGTTATTATCATCTAAAAAAATGATTAAATTGATAGGTAAAACTTGTCCATGTGATGCATGGGTGGTTGTACTACCTGTCCGTAATTTAACACCCCCGCTGATGGTGTGAGTTCGATGGTCCCAAAAGGATTAAGTTGACCTTCTTCAAAACTCCCATCTCTATCACATTTTGCTACGTACATGTAATCGGTTGGTCTCGGCCCAAATCCTAAATTGTCCCAGTCAATATCCGCACAATCTTCATCACTAATAACACCATTCATTCATTATCGATAATTAATTATATTGAACAAATAAAATAGATGTTTTCAATTGAACTGAAATTTCTAGTCTGGTGTGAGTTGATATGATCTGGTCTGGTAATGTCTGGTCTCTGTATATTTTATAATTTTCTAACTTTAGTGTTATCTGGTCTGATAGGTTCTGTTCTGATCCGGTCTGATCTCATCTGATCTATTGCAGGACTGAGAACAGTCTAAGTAAAAACATCCTAAGAATGTATATACTATGTATATTGTTATATACTCCCTCCGTTCTTTTATAAATGTCCCTTTAGATTTGGGCACGGGTTTTAAGCGGAAAATGGTAGAGATAGTATAGAGTGTGTAGAGTAAATGAAAAAATAAGAAATAAAATATATTAAGAAGAGTAAGATGATGACAAAGTAGGAAATATAGAGCAATATGTAAAATAAATAATAGTAATAAAAGTCGAGGTATAAATGTATATTTATCTCAAGAACTTTCCAAAAATGGAGAGTGTCGGAGGACAATTAACACAAAACATATAAGAGACAATTATTAAAGAACGGAGGAGTAGAAGAAATCATAGATATTTTCTTAATTGATTTGCCTATCAAATAAAATGATTACTGTAATACGGAGTATTAATTTAACTTACCTGTAAGGATCACCGGCCAGGCGTAAAGAAGCTGCGGCATGAGAGGCAATGGATCTTGTTCCAAGCTAATTATTATTATTTAGTTTATTATATGTGTCACAATAATGAGCATTAGATTAAATTTCTTTAAGTGAGTTTAATTAGATTTTAACGTTGATTTATTATGGAAAGCGACCGACCTTTAGTGGCACACATAATGAAGCTCGCGGCGAAGAATAAAGTTTAATGAGTCGCCGAAACATGTTGCAGAATTAGTAGAGCAGCAAGCGAGCTGGCCTGACCTGGAGAAAGAAGGGACGTGACTCTCCTATGTATGGCAAAAATTTGAAGATGACCCAACTCAATATATATAGAAGTAATAGAACTCAATTAATTATTTAACGTACCCAACTTGACGCAATATATTTTATTATTAATTGATCTATACCATTGACTCTAGCCATGACCCAATTAAGGAAATATAGATCCAGTCCATAACGGGATCAAACCCTCAACGGGATCAAGCCCTTAACGGGATCCAACCCATAACGGGATCAAGCCTTCAACGGGATCAAGCCCTTAACGGGATCAGCCCATAAACGGGATCAATATTAAATTGGGAGGATCTTGAGGAAGTGGTGACGAGTGCCATGGGGAGAGAAGCTGGTCGTAGGAGGCGACATCAACAGGCATGTGGAAACAAGTCGCGATAGTTATGAGAGTATCCATGGCGGACATGAGTTTGGCACTAGAAATGAAGCGGGAAAGAACATTCTGGATTTTGTCTCGACATATGAGTTGGCTATGATGAACACTTGGTTCAAGAAAAGGGATTCTCACCTTGTGACCTATAGAAATGGAGCTAATAGTACCCAAATTGACTACTTTTTATATTAATACGAACGACTTGGAGAACTAGCTACACTGATTGTAAGGTTATCCCATGGGAGAGTCATGTCACTCGGCATAGGATGCTTGTGCTTGATTTTCAAGGTGAAAAAAGAAGGCAGGTTAAGGTATAAGAGGACCTAAAGATATAGTGGTGGAGACTTGAGGGGAATCTTCAACAGACTGACATATTACTGGCACTACATACCTGCGGCCCAACAATCTCCTCCCATCACTTTCCAGCCTCAACAGCACAACATGGTGTTGTCGGGGGTCAAATCCGTGACCTTGGCTATGATACCAATTGTGGATCGTTGCGCTTACCGCTACACTAAAAGCAATCGCTGATGGTGTAACACGCTCCTCTCCCTTTATAGCACAAGCGAAGCGCCATGCGGTTTGATTGCACCGGCAGGCTGGCAGATTGCTGGCACCGCATACCCGCGGCCCAACAATCTCCCCTCAGCACCTGCCAGCCTCAACTGCACAGCATGTTGTTGCCAGGGGTCGAACCCCTGACCTTGGCTCTCATACCAATTGTGGATCGTTGTGCTTACCGCTACACTAAAAGCAATCGCTGATAGTTTAGCATACCCCTCTCCCTTTATAGCACAAGCGAAGCGCCATGCGGTTCGATTGCACCGGCAGGATGGCAGATTGCTGGCACTGCATACCCGCGGCCCAACATCTACCACAAAAAGAACACATCTTGGTGGAATGATGAGGTGAAACAAACAATAAGGACCAAAAGAGAATGCTATAAGGAATTGGACAACAGTTGGAGCGACGAGAACATAAAGGAGTACAAGGAGGCTAGGAGAAGAGCAAAGAAAGATGTAAAGGAAGCAAGAGGAAAAGTGAATAAGGAATTGTATGTAAAATTGGACTCCAAGGAAGGAGAAAAAGATATTTACAGGCTTGGTTGCCTTCGTGACCTTAGGACTTAAGATATCAGAAAAGTTAAGTGTGGGAAGGATGTCGATGAAAGGGTACTAATGGAGGACGAGGAAATAAAATAGAAGTGGATGTCATACTTTAATACCTTGTTCAACGAGAATAAAGTGCAAGGTATTGATGATCTTACTATACCAGAGTGCATGGTAAATCGAGAATTCGTGAGAAAGATCCAAACAACAGAAGTTAAAGAAGCTATGAGAAAGATGGGGCGGGAGAAAGCGGTGGGCCCGAATTGCATACCGATCGAGGCTCGGAGAAGTTTGGGAGAGAAAGTCATTGAGTGGCTAGCACGTTTCTTCAAAGCGGAAGAGTACTCTCATTCCCCAATTTAAAAACAAGGGTGATGTACAAGAATGAGTCAACTATCGAGGGATTAAGCTTATAAGTCACACTATGAAACTTTGGGAGTGAGTAGTTGAACAAAGACTTCAAAAAAGTGTGAAGATTTTGGAGAACCAGATTGGTTTTATACCTAGACACTCAATAACTGAGGTCATTCACCTTCTTAGACGAGTTGTTGAGAAGTATAGAGACACTAAAAAGGATTTGCATTTGGTGTTCATTGACATAGAAAAAGCATATGATAGGGTACCTCAAAAAGCCCTTTGGTGGGTCTTAACTAGAAAAGGCATATCAAGTAAGTATATCAGTATCATCATGGATATGTATGATGCTTGTACTACAAGTATCCGTACTGATGTAAGGAGGACCGCAGAGTTCCCTGTTACTATCGGAGTGCACCACAGATCGGCTCTGAGTCCTTTCTTATTTGTTATGGTCATGGATGAACTCACGAAGTCAAATAATCAAGAAGATATACCTAGTGCATGATGTTTGTCGACGATTTTGTATTGATCGATTGATGAGACGCAATCTAGTGTTAAAGCAAAGTTTGAAGTATGACGACAAACATTGGAGACCAAAGGGTTTCAGACTGAGCCGAAACAAGACTGAATATATGGAGTGCAAGTTTGGTGGAGGTAGAAGTAGTAGCAATAGTGATATTACTCTTGATGGTAAGAAGATACCAGTGTGTGATATGTTTCGTTTCTTAGGCTCTATAATTTAGAAGGATGGTGAATTAAATGGAGATGTAGCCCATAGAATCAGAGTGGGTGGATGAAATGGAAGAGTACATCATGATTTCTATGCGATCGAGGTATGCCGACTAGACTGAAAGGTAAATTTTATCTAACAGCAATTAGACCCGCATTAATGTATGACGTAGAGTGTTTGTCGGTGAAACAATGTCACATTCAAAAGATGAGTGTGACAAAGATGTGTATATTTATCTAAGTTACCTATAAAACATGTAATTCCGGTATCTTTTTAAAAACAACTCATTCTTTTTATTCCGTATTTAGTTGAGTTTAGATTGTTTTGAGACGTTTTCTTTACTTCGCCCCTAGCTAGCTAGGCTCCGTTACTTATTTGTGAGGTACATATCACTAAACCGATTTTATATTTCTGAATCCAAGCCAGCACAACAAATGGCCTAACTATGAGACATATTGCCATGGAAACCATCGAAAGAAGTATAATTAGCGTCCTGCCAACCGTGATCCTTACGACTATTGTTAAACATTGATAAACGAAATAATAATGTTCGAGAGTTTTCATTCATTTTTTGTTCATTTTAGCGCTCAAACAAGAAATATTAATCAAATGATTTCATTAATATTTAACAAGTTCAGATCATATTGAATAGAGCATACTTAAAAAATTGTACTCCCTCCCCGTCCCAAAATAAACTTCTCACATTGATTTGGCACGCATATTAAGAAAGTGAGAATAAAATGAAAATGACTATCGTTGTGTAAGAAAAAGGTAAATGAATGTGAGACACACAAACTTTCCAAAAATGGTAAATGAGAATAATATTTTGAGACATCCTAGAGTAGAAATTTAGAAGAATTTTATGGAACGGAGGGAGTAATTTTTACTTAAAAACTTAAGACACCATAAGAGTAGTTGACTAGTTGGTGACCCAAATTAGGTAAATTTAGTACAATTTGGGTGTCATTATAATTGAATTTCGTCATACGGAGCATTTAAAAACAAACAATCATTTGAACCTCTAGTACGTATGTATACACCGAGAGAGATGTATATATAGCAGTGCCTATATCGTACATCCAGGTGTATGCACACCCGGCCCAGCCAAGGTAGGCAACCCAATAATCAATACAGATCAAAAATAATTTTGTGACATTTTTGTAATTTAGGCGAAAAATTACGGTTTCCACTAAATGAGCAATAGTGTACTTTTAATGAGCATCAGACATATTTTGTTGAGTATTTAAGAGTCTAACAATGATATCACGATCTCTGCTTCATATCTTCTAATTCTTTTTGTTTTCTTTTTTTTCTTTTATAAAAATTTATTATATTATATCTATAATACACTCCTACTAATTTTAATATGCGAGTCTGATGTAATATGATACTTTTGAAATATTCATTCATATAACAATTCAAAAATGAGCATAACATTACTACCAAATGAGCATACATAACTAACGAAATTAGTATCAAAAAATTTTAAAACGCAATTTTGTATGCTCATTCATTTTGGACGTTATACTCGTTTGAATTTAACATAAAACTCATTTTTAATGTGAAACTCTTGAATATAAGTATGTGGATGATGGATGAGAGGTAGCACTTTGTGGTTTAATTGAAACTCTTGAATATACGTATGTGGAACATAAGTATGTGGATGATGGATGAGAGGTAGCACTTTGTGGTTGAAAATATAGCTTCTGACAGATTGCAGAGGATTATCCGTAGGGTGAGTTCTGTGATGATTTTGTCTTCAACGAAGATATCTTCTACAGATAAGCAAACTGATTGGTAGCAGCACCAAACAGCAAGGAGGTCGGAGTTCAGCCTACCAATCGCCAATCTCCATCGCTCCTGAAGTCGATGCTGGTGCGCAGCCCGCCCAACGAGTTTAATTGCAAAAATACCCGGATGTACGGTGAGGACCGTACATCCGGGTGTACCGTATAATTTGCGTATATATAGAACTATGTATACGGGCGCGATTCAAATAAAAAAATCTCTCTCATCAAGAAAGTGTGCATCATAGAACTATATGGTGCAACAAATTATGTAAAAAGAGTTTTTTTTGAAGAAATATAGAAAGAGCAATTGTATGCGGTTTTCACGTGAAAAAGTATTTTTATTTGATTCGGAACACACACACACACACACACACACACACACACACACATATATATATATATATATATATATATATATATATATATATATATATATATATATATCAATGTTCTAAAAGGCGCTAGCTTAGGCGTTAGTCGGGTGTCAGCTCAGCGCCTAGCACCTAGGCGGCTAGGCGGGCGCTTAGTCGGGGACTAGTCGGAAACAAAGAAATTGCATTTTTATCTATATTTTTGCATAAATATGATAACTAATATTTTATTTTTGTATGTATAAAATACATACTTCCTCCGTTCCATAAAAGTTGCAACATTGGAAT